CCCCGCAACAATTAAACCTCTTGTCTGTGGCTGTGGCCCGTGTCATCGTCTGTCCCCCACCCCACACTGGGAGGTGACCTGATGGTGGCTTCTCCGCTGTCTGATATTGGGGTTGAGCTACATCAACCTCCCCCCCAAAAAAGCTGTTCCCAAGAGGCGTGCCTCAGTTTCCCCACTGCCAAAGGGTGGAAAAGCAGGAGGTGGCCATGGGGAGGGCACGGTGGTGGCTTCTCCGCTGTCTGATACTGGGGTTGAGCTGCGTCACCTCTCCCAAAGAGTCATCCCCAACAGGCGTGCCTCAGTTTCTCCACTGCCAAAGGGTGGGAGGGTGAGAATTGACCATGGGGAGGACACGGCGGTGGCTTCTCTGGTGTCTGATATCGGGGTTCAGCCAGATCGCACACACCCCCCCCAGAGGTGTGCCTCAGTTTCCCTGCTGGGAAGGGGCAGGTGGCTGCAGCAGTGGCTTCTCCGCTGTCTAATATTGGGGTTCATTTGCATCACACCCCCCTCCAGGGCCATGCCCAGCAGGCATGCCTCAGTTTCCCCATCACAAAAGGGTGGAAGGGTGAGATGTGGCCATGGTGGTGGCTTCTCCGCTGTCCAATATTGGGCTTCAGCCGGATCACACTCCCCATGGAATCATTGCCAAGAGGTGTGCCTCAGTTTCCCCACTGCCAGAGATGGGGAGGTGGCCACAGAGAGGATGCAGCAGTGTCTTCTCCACCATCCTATACTGGGGCTGAGCTGAATTGCATCCCCCCCACACCCCAAAGAGCCATCCCCAGAGGCGTGCCTCAGTTTCCCCACCGGGAAAGCACGGGCGAGGTTCCTGCCGTGCCAAGCCCAGCGCCGGGGCACAGTCCACTTGGCTTCGCCCATCGCCGGTGACGCAGAGCACCGGGATCAAATCCCTGGGGACAAGCCCTGAGGAGGAGGAGGAGGAGGAAGAGGCGGGAGTTGGCATGTGGTGGGGATGAAGGCAGGGCACCACGGGGAGAAGCCGGAGCTCGCCCGCTGCGCCCGATAACACCGGCACCCACCGCTGGCCATGTGGGTGCTGGGAATGCTGGGCTTGGCGCTGAGCTGCCGGGGGGCAGGTAGGATTTTGGGGGGGGGGGGGAGGGGGGGGAAAGCAAGTTATTGGGGGGGAACAATGTCCCCAACCCCTGGGGACCCTTCCCACCCCCGCGTCCCCCCCTTGTAGGCGCCTTCCTGGTGCACGTGGCCAGCTCCTGCCCGCTGGCCAACAACGGCTCTACGCTGGCCTTCAGCTTCACCCTCGTCTTCAACAAGAACCCGCTGGTCTGTTACGAGCCCGACGCCCGGCACTTCGCCCCCTGCGACTGGGGGCTGCTCCATCCCTACGCCACCATCCTCGCTGCCATCCTCAACAACGGCACCGCCTGGGTGCAGCGCGCCGAAGCCCGGCGCCGGGCTTGCCGCGACCTGGCCCCCCGATTCTGGTCCTCCACGGCGCTGCGGCGGAGTGAGCCCTGCGGCGCGTTGCATGGGGCGTTTGCATGGGGCTTTGCACGGGATGTTGCACGGGGTGTTGCACAAGGCGTTGGATGGGGAATACATGGGGACGCTGAATAGGGACGTTGCATGGGGATGTTGCGCGGGGACATTGCATGGGGCGTTGCATGAGGCGTTGAATGGGGAGATTGCACAGGGACGTCACACAGGGCATCGTACAGGGTGTTGCACGGGGACGTTGCACGGTGCATTGACTGAGATGTTGCACAGGGATGTGGCATGGAGCAATACGTGTGGACATTGCACAGGGAGCATGTGGGGCATTGCATGAGGATGTCATGTGGGATGCTGCACGGGGATGTTGCACGGGGCATTGAATGGGACGTTGCACACGGATATTGCACGGGGACATTACACGGGGAATGCACGGGGACATTGCACGGGGACATTGCACAGGGCATCGTATGGGACGCGTGTGGGTATATGCACGGGGACGTTGCACGGGGACATTGCACAGGGGCAATGCACAGGTACGTTGCGCAGGGACACGCACGGGGACATCACGGGGTGAGGAGGGGACCTGACTGTCCCCTCCCTGCCCCAGCACCACCCCAAATCCGCATCGTCTCCGTCCCCCTCCCCAACACCCCCGATGCCGTCCTCCTCACCTGCCACGTCTGGGGCTTCTACCCCGCCGAGGTGATGGTCCTCTGGCTGCACAATGGGGACGTGGTGGCCACCGGGGACAACGCCGAGCTCCTGCCCAACGGCGACTGGACCTACCAGACGCAGGTGACCCTGACGGTCACCGCCAAGGTTGGGGACACCTTCACGTGTTCGGTGCAGCACGCCAGCCTGGACCGGCCCCTCTGCGAGGACTGGGGTGAGGGCGGGTGATGGGGACACGGCACCCGGACGGCTGGGTCCTCAGTGGCTCAGCGCGGCCGCTCTGTCCCCGCAGGTCCCGGCTTGTCCCCGGGGTTGACGGTGAAGGTGGTGGCGGCGGCGGTGGTAATGACCGTGGGGCTGGTGGTCTTCACCGCTGGCACTTTCAGCTACTGCCGCCAGGCTCCGGGTGAGGGACAGGCATGGGGGACGCACGTGTGGCACGTGGGGGACATGGCACCCACCTGAATTAGGGGTGTCCCTAATTCATCTTCTTATGTCTGACAGCGCCTGGTCCTGGTCCTAGTCCTGGTTCTTGTCCTGGTTCTGGATCTGGTCTTGGTCCTGGTTCTGGTCGTGGTCCTGGTCCCCATCTTGGATCTGGTCTCAGTCCTGGTCCTGGATCTGGTCTCAATCCTGGTCCTGGTCCTGGTCTCAGTTCTGGTCCTGGTCCCTGTCCTGGTCTTGGTCCTGGTCTCGGTCCTGGTCCCGGTCCCGGTCCTGGTTGCCATCCTGGATCCGGTCTCGGTCCCGGTCCCGGTCCTGGTCCTGGTCGCCATCCTGGATCTGGTCCCAGTCCCGGTCCCGGTCCTGGTCCCGGTCCCGGTCCCGGTTCTGGTCCTGGTCCCGGTCCTGGTCCCTCCATGGCCATGCATGACCACACAGTGACCAAACTCTGAGGTCCCAACTGTGATGGGCGGGGGCGTGCCCCTCAGCCACCCCCCCCTCCCAAAAATAAAAACATTTGTGGTCCCCATCCCTGAGTGGCTTTGTCCGTGGTGATCCTCACGAGTAGGGGGGGGCCTCTCCCAGTGCTCCCAGTTTGGAGGCAGAGGGGTTACTGGGAGGGGGGAGGGGTTAGCGCTACAAGCGGAAGCCCTGTTGAAGGTGTGGGGGGGGCCACACATGTGAACCCCTGGGTGCAGCCACCCTAAACGCCCGAGTCCCCAGCCCAGTCTGGGGGTGGGTGTCAAAGCAAAGCCTCCATAGGACGGTGACCCCCCCCATCATGGGGGGGTGGCA